GGCAGGCGGGGAAACAGCTGCTCAGCCGTTCACTCGTACTGGCAGGCATTTAGGTCCGTCGTCACTGGTCACTGACTTTCTGTGCTCATGTCCCTTTTCCGAGCTGCCTCGTGTGTGTGTGTGTGTCTGTGTCTGCGTGTATGAGCGCGTGTTTGTGTGCGTGCCCACATTTCGTGTGTGTGTGCATGTGTGTGTGTGTTTAAGATATTTCATAGCATTAACTTATAAGTGGTAGAATATATAAGTGTCCATGATCCACAAACTGCCACTGTCCTGACACCAAAGTGAAATGATTTTTTTTTTCTTTTTTTTTTCTTTTTTTTTTGTCAAACTTTTCCACAGTGACTTTCCAACACTGATGCCTGGATACACAGTGAAACTTCCTCCAACACCATCTTGTACGGGAATGTTTCTCTCTCTCTCCCTCTCTCTCTCTCTCCCCCCCTAAAACACACCTTAAATCAAGCACAACCACATTCTTCCACAATCATATTGGGAACGTCCCTTTTCACAATGTTGTATTCATCATCAAAGTACAGCATTGACATTGTGCTAAGTTTGGTTGGAATGCAACAGGAGTTCACGGTGCCCGGGTTCAGCCCCCGCATTCGGTACTGATTCACGACAGCGGTGTGAAAGGAGGAAGCCGACCCCGGGACACCGGCCAAGTAGGCCGGGCAGCTCCCTTCACAGTAATTCCCATAGTAACCTGATGGTGCTATGATCCAGTCATTCCACCCAATGAGTCTAAAGTCAATGTAAAACTGTTGCCTGCAACATAGATTGGTCCTGCCATCGCACTCCAGGCCTCTTTTCCGGATCCTGTGTTTGTTATCGGCGAGGCGGGCTTGCACCACTAAAAAAGGCCGGTGGGATTCCTCCCCGGGGTCCACATAAATTGGCAGCACTGAATACTCTTCACAGCCCTCACATTGAACATCCAAGTTCAGTCTCCTTTCTCCTCTCTCAAACAGAGCCTGGATCGCCTCTGTCATGGGAAAAGTGTGCCAACCACTTCTTTTGAGATCAACTTTCTTTTCAACCACATTCCACTTGTTGCTAGTGTCCGGGTCTTGGAAATAGACTTTGACTCTTACTTTTCGCCTGCTGCCTTTCTCTAAGACATATGGAAGCAGCTTCAAGTAAAGCCACAGGCTGGCTTGAACGACAAACAAGTTCTGGTTCCCTTCATTCGAGATGAAGAAATAGAGGCGGACTCTAGATGAGGCCAGATCGTCTGCAAGATAAGGAGAGATCAGCAAGATTAAGTCAAAAAGGAAACATTAGCTTGTGTGCCTTTCTGGATGCAGGGACAACGCTAGAGCACAGCAGATCGAGCGAACGCCGCCGGGGCCGTGCCAGCCAGAAGGCATGCACTGCATCAAATATCCCMAATTTGAAATCAGAATTAATCGAAAAGGGGACTTCCCGCAGCAACCTTCAACATCGGGCTGTAGTCGGATGTGTCAGATCCACAGACAGCAGTAAGAGCTTTCCAGAATTACCTTTTTTTCCAGACAGCCGGCTATAAAGATGCTACCGCAGCACCTCGAAAAAAGACCAGCGCTAGGACTCTGCTATCTCATCAGTTTAAGAATAGTTTTAACTTTCAGCTACCTGCCAATTCTCATGGGGAGAGCGCTTTCAATAACCACTAAAACGCCAATGCCAAACCAGGGATTTTGTTTCGATTTGCACATATCCTCGCCGCGGTTTAAAGGAGAGGATTCACGAGACAGAATGGAAAATATTTCAGTAATGTGCCTGCTTGTCCAACAGATCAAGCTAACCCCCACTTAGTCTGGTAGAATATCTGCTATTATTAATCATTTCAATCTCTGCCTTTTCTTCCCAAAATGATGAACTCCCATATGAAGCAAGGCAATGAAGCGGTTGTTCCTGCTGTAACGCCGTTATTGGCTGTTCTCAATACGCTTTTCAGCAACACCAGAATTAAAGGAGAGAAATTGTCACAGAAAACCAAATGTCACCAAATGTCTGACATAACCCCTTATTTGTAAACAGAAGAGCCTGCCGCATGAAATATTTCAGAAATACCAGCGGCCTTCCTGCAATTTTGTGCTCTAAGTCCTAACCAAATTTGGCGTAGGTGATAAATGTGCCGGCCTTTATGGCGGAGACCGTAATTCTGGTTCCTAAATCAAAGCATCCCAATCGCTGTTTAAAATAAATGCTGGAAAGGCATTTTCTCATCTGCCCTTATCGGTTTTGCTTCCGTCTGTACAGAGCTAAATGTAGATTTTTCTGCTTTTTCCTTCCCTAACAATCTTTAACATTTTTGTCAATCTCTGAATGGGATTTTTTGCGTAGTCGGTGTCTTCATTTGTTACCCTAGATGCCTTTCAAATGTGCCTCCAGAGCCCATTCAGTACCTTGTAATAGTTCAGTGACAAAAATTTTCACTGTGTTTGTCTACGTTTTACATAAAGTCAATTTTGGAAGTGTTACAAAAGACAGCGATTGACTGAATACCAAATGGAAGTACAAGCCCACCCCCGATCTCCCAACAACAGCCTATTAAAAAATAATAACCCCCAAAATGTACACTAAGAAAGCCTTTCGCATGTTAGTAAATACACAACTTCTTCATAAACTGTGGTGACAGTGACAGAAAAAGAACAGTACGGTGTTGCTGCACCGATCCACATCACTTGTGTTGTGTGAGATTGTGTGCGCTCATAAATTTTGTATGTGAATATAACAAGCATATGTATAATGCAACAGATCCCATAGATACTGTAAATGTATATGCCTTTGGTAAGTGGGAGGGTAGATAAAGAAGATGAGTGGGCAGCATACAGGATAGAAAGAGATTTATTTTGTGGACAAATGATATATAGATGCCACAAGAAGATAGAGAGAGAAAAATGAACCGAGCGATAGAGCGATGAAGGAAAGGAGAGATGGGCAGATAGACGGGAGAGAGGTAATTTGCAGAGTGATGGTGTTACAGCCAGATGTGCAAAGTTCACGGGGACAGTGGTTAAACTACTGGAAAGCTGTGCTTAAGGGATTCGGTGACACATAACTGCGACGGCTGGACAGAACTGAGATGGCTGGTACCGTGGGGATGGAGGGCAGTCCGTGAACGGACTGATGGACAGAAAGGAGACAGACACACTTGGTAGGACGCTGCATGCAGTGGACAWACAGACAAGGCCAATACAGCAAATTAAAGCTAAATAAATGGGAAATAAACGCAAAGAGAGGATGGGCAAATGCAAGCCTCAACAGACAGATGCAGGCAGTGAACCAGAGGAAGGTGCAGGGCAGACAGACGAGGCAAGGGATGCAAGAGATGCAGCGGGACAGGCAGAGGAAGGACAGCGGGACAGGCAGGGACGGAGACAAACCCCGGTACAGCTGCAAGGACCGCCGGAGGGGAGCCGGGGGCACAGAGGCTGCGGAGGGATGGAGGGACGAGAGAGGGGAGTTGCAGGACACGACCCGGGGAGAATCCCGGGCACAGGGACACAAGCGGGGAGGACGGGAAGGCACAGGCAGGGCCAGGGCGAGACGGTGCTGGGCAGAGGGGAGAGCGAATGAGGCGGAGGGCAAGCGARTGAGCCCGGCGGCCAGGTGCCTGTAGCAGGCAGGAGGACAGGGACGGTGCGCAGGGGGCCAGACAAGGGCAGCCGGGGAGCTGCCAGGGGTCAGGCGGGCGGAAAGCGAAGGTGAGCAGGAGGACAGGCAGGGCGAGAGGGAAGACTGACAGGGGTCAAGCAGGGGGACTGACAGGGGTCGAGCGGGGGGAATGACAGACGGGGCGAGGCAGGACAGGCGGGGAGCGCGGCAGGGCAGGGGCCGCGGCGGGTCGGGCAGGGGGGCGCGGGCGGCGGGGGCGCGGGGCCGGGCGGCGCCCACCTGTCTCGGCGAAGCTGATGATCTCGGAGACCGGGTCGTGGGCCGGGGGCCCGGCGCTCGCCTGCCCGTCCAGGCTGGGGATCTCCACGCGGCCGTCCTCCCGCACCTTGCCGGCGTGCAGCTTGCGCAGCGCCGTGACCATGGCCGCCTTGGGCACGGCGTGCGTGATGTTGGGCCGGTCCCGCATCTGCAGCCGGCTCAGGATGTGCCTCTTCACCGCCTCCAGGAAATCCCCGTCCACCTTGCCCGGCTCCTCGGGCCGCCGGAAGCCGCAGGAGGTGCATGTGTCCTGCGGGGAGCCGCCGGCGGGGGCCGGCGGGGTCGGGGTGGCCGCGGCGCCCAGCAGGAGCAGCCCGCAGGCCAGCAGCGCGGCCAGCACCCCCCGGCGAGCCGCCCCGTCCATGGCGGAGGAGCGGGGGGCCGAGCTGGGGGCCGCCCCGGAGCGCCGCAGGGAGCCCGTCTGCAGGCAGCGCCGCTCCGAGCGCTCCGCGGCGCGGAGGGGGCGGTGGCAGCCAAGCTGGGGGGCCGCAACCGCTCCGCGCAGGGGGGGAGCCGCGGCGGAGGGAGGGGGCGCCCGGGGAAGCGGCGTGTGCCGCCGGGGAGGCGGAGGGGGGAGGCTGCACGCGCAGGCACCGAGGGCGAAGTTGGCGGCGGGGGGGGGAACAGGCTTGGCGTGCACGGAGAGAGCCCGGCTCCACGGGGGAGGGGGACGGCAGCAGGTGAGGGGGTGGCTGCGGAGCCCGGGGAGGAGGGAGGGGGAGCGGGGAGCGAGCCGGAGGTGCGAGGGGATCCGGGGAGCAGGGGAGAGGCGGCGCCGCTCTGCCCCGGTGCCCCGCGTCGCTTCAGAGGGGCATCCCCGGGCGCAGTCGCTCGTGGTCCATCGCTCGCTTCGGCAGGTCCGGGCGGGCCGCGGAGAGGAGCTCTCTAGTCCAGCGTCATTGAGGGGGGTCAGGGAGATAAACGAAGCAGATTTATATACAATCCAATTTATAGCCTGGAAGGAGAGGGGGGGGAGAAATGCCACTTGTACCCCCCCGCCCACTCCGCCCCCGCAAGACAATCCGTGGGTGCAGGTCTCTGAGCAGGTCGGCTCCGCGCCGCTCGGTTGTCCCCCTTCAGCGCCCGCTGCTTCTCAACGTGCCGTCAAAGTTGACCCGGAGCATAGCTGGGGAGGGAGCCGGGGGCGGCGGGCAGGGGGTGCGCGGCTGGCAGCTCCACTGTTGCGAGTCTTCTCCCCCCACCGCCCCTCTTATTATTAGAGAGATGCTTTTATTTTCAAAGCAGCGCGGAGGGTCCGGAGTCCGACGCAGATGCGGTGGCGGCGCCCGGGGACCCCCGCCGCGGGCAGGGCACCGCACGCTGCGCGGCGCGGAGCGGGGAAGCGGCGCGATCCCGGCGATCCCAGGAGAAGCTGCACGGATCCACTCGGTCAGACCAGCTCTTCGGCTTGCTCCCTCGCTTGCTCTTTTAAACAATATCTCCCTTGTTGGTGGTTTGGGTTTTATTATTATTATTGTTATTATTATTTTAAGTGTGATTTTTGTTGTTGTTGCTGCTGCTGCTGCTCCAGTTAATCTGTCTCCCTCTCTGCGTCTTTTTGATCTTTCGCTCGCCTTGTGCTGGCTTGAACGCTGTGTTTTGTTTTGTTTGGGTTTTTTTGTTTTGTTTGTTTTTTTGGGTTTTGGTTTTTTTTTTCTTTTTTTTTTTTTTTTTTTTTTTTTTTTTTTTTTTTTTTTTTTTTTTTTTTTTTTTTTTTTTTTTACGCGTCTGATGTTCCCTCTCGGATCCGCAGTGAAAGGTCTCGGGGAAGCTGCTTGCTCCTCGCTTATCTTCTCTGATCTCCTCCTGCTAATTTTTCCCCCCTGCAAAATCACGACATTGTGGCACTTTCTACTGAAACTTTTATACAGGAGTTAAAACCACGTGGGAACTCCAACCTATAACAGAGACGCCATGGGTTCCTCACTATTTAGGAGATTAAGTTAAGTCTTTTGCCCCCTGGGCTATTACAGTAACTTCCTGATGTGGAAATATTAACTATGCTGTTTCTTTAACTCCCCCCGTCCCCTCCCTCCCTCCCGGTTCCGGCAAACACACCCACCGCACACCGGCTCGCGTCCCTGTCCCGTGTCCGGCAGGACGGACGGACGGACGGGACACCCCGAGCGGCGACAGTTGTGGTCCCCCTCCCACCCCGGCCGGGAGATGGATGCCCCCTTTTTCCCCTCCCCCGGTGCTCCTTGCCTTTTAAGCACTTGAAAGAAGAAGTCATTAGAAAGTTTACCGTCGGGTTGGCTTTGCGACGGGGCGGGTTTCTGTTTGTTTGTTTGAATGGGCCGGGTAGCCGGGGCGGGTGCCGGGGACCGTGTGTGTTTTCCGTGGGGCAGGAGGGACGGGGAACTGTCAGAGGCGGGGACGGGGGGGAGGGGGACCGGGGCGGCGGCCGAGGGGAGCCGGGAGGGGAAATAACGGGACCGCCGCGCTCCCGCAGCCGTGACGGGGAGCCGACAGCAGCGCCGGCCCTGCCCGCGCCCGGGGAACGGGTTTTCCTCCGCGCCTTCGCGGGGCAGCGCCGGGCTTTGGTGGGGGGCACCGAGGCGGAGGGGACGGCTGTGACACCCCTCGCAGGGGTCAGCAGAGATTCCCACCCGGCTCCCCGCAGCAGCCCCGCCCGGGGGCGAGCGGCCAGGGACGGGGRTCGGGGGCGCGGGGAGAGAAGCCCCCCGCACATCGGCGGCCGCTCCGTTCCGCGCCCCCGCCCCGCTGCGCGCCCCGGCCGGGCCCCCGCGGGGCCGCGCTCACCTGCGCGCCGCCGGCAGCGGGGAAGCCTGGGCCGAGAGCGCCCCCTCTGGGCCGCGCGGGGAAGCGGCGGCGGGGCCGGGCGGGGTCAGCGGCACCGGGCGGGACGGGGACAGCGGGACGGGGACAGCGGGACGGGGACAGTCGCACCCCGTGCGGGGCGGGTTCGGCCGTGGCGGGCGGTGGGGAGGTTCCTGCGGGCCGGGCCGGGCTGTCGGGTCCCGCAGAGGCGAGGGGCTGGGGCTGGGCAGCGGGCGGTGCGCGCTGGAGCCGGAGCTCTGCGCTGGGCGAAGGAGCACCTTGGGCTGAGCCTCCTGCCCGTGCAGCGGGGCTGCAGGCCCTTCTAATCGCATCTACTTTTTTTTTTTTCTCTCTCTCTTTTTTTTTTCCTTTTTTTTTTTTGTTTTTTTTTTTTCTCATAACAAAGAAAAATCTACCTTCTTCAAGAATGAAGACAAGTCTCAAGACCTTCATCTCTTTCACCGAGCCAGATGGTGCTTTTCAAGGGGCAGATGCAGGACACACAAATTTCAAGCATGACAGCAAAGAAGTCCCTTCTGCTCATTTCATTTTGTAGAAGAAGCGAAGAATAAAACTTCTCATAGGTCCCTGGACTGCACACGCGTGAGCACTGTTAGCTGTCACTAATAGAAGCAACTCAGAAGTGTGAAGAGGGTCAAGTGGAGGATCAGCTCATTACTGTGATTTAAGAATGGAAGGGACAAATGCTATTCTCATCATAAATATTTTCTTTCTTGTTCTAAAAGGCAAAAGAAAAGACATTTAATGCTGTGCTTCAAAGTCACATTGCAATCTCAATCTAGTTGTTCGTGTTTGGTTTAATATAAACAAAGTCTAATTGCAGATACAGCTTTGTAAATCCTCAGCATCACTGGAGCTACCGTGATGAGAGATCAGAATTAGGTACAGTATTTCCTCCCTGCCAGTAAMAGGTTTTGAATGGAAAGCCTGGAATGTAAAAAAAGAAATAATGCTAAAAATCCAATCACTCTGACATCCTGTGAGCTAATAAGAGCACGTGAATGCAACAAGCTTAGTACTTCACAGTAATTAATTTGACAGCAAAGAGCTAACAAGAAAACAACAGGCAGAGCAGTGATGACTGGTTCATAGAGGTCACTGTCAAATAAGAAATAGGTGCAAACACAGCCCGTCTCCCTTTGGAAACAACTATTTCATTGCTCCGGTGAGAATGAAATGCCAAAGAGGGATTGGGGGGGGATAACAAATCTGGGAAGGTATTTCTAACAGCAACACAAGGTAGAGGGTTTTCTTTACATATGGGGATTTTTAATCATCCCTGTTACTCACTGTAGTGGCATGTTTTGGCTTTTGCTTTTTTTATATCCCCTCTCTTTCTCAGTTAGCCAAAGCCATTTTGCATATTCAGATATTGGGAAGACTTATCTTCTCCTACAATTACTAACTAATACTCTAATAACCTCTATTGTTATTTAAAGTGTGTCCAACACAGCATTCTGGAGGCAGTTCTCACACAATGCGCTTTCTCTGGCTTCCTCCTAGAGAAGAACTTAATCAAATCTCAGATGCTTTCAGGCAGAAGAGCCTTTGGGGAGAGCAAACAGGGTTAACAGAAAAAAATGTGCCATCTGATTTCTAATCTTGCTCAGGGAGCATGGCCTATTGATTGAGCCATAAAGCTCTGTTAATTTTCAGATTTCCTCGGCTCTCAGTTCTTTCCCTTGGGCACARACTTGTTGCTTACACACGATGGCTGAGCTATCAGGGAAAGGGTAGCTTCACACTCCCCCCACTCGGCTCTCTTCCCCTCCTCCCCTCTATTCTATTTGTTCTGAGCTCATCTGCGTGAGGATACATTTTCACACACACCTTCTCAAACCGGCTGCTATTCATCTGATTCAGGGTCATGCTTTTCCATACATTAAATGCAGGGGAAAACTGGGAAGGAAATGGCTGGGATTTGTGCTTGACGGGCAAGCACACGATTAGCCAGGGAGCCCTGCTGTGAGAAAGCACAGCGTCGGAGGGTATTTTCTGTAGAATCATCAAGTCTCATGACTGGAATCTGATGCCTATAAAAAGCTACTAGTATAATGAAAACAGTATAAACTGAGATCCTCAGGCAGTGTACATCGGCATGTTTCCGAGACATCCGACTGCTACAGAACCACGGAACGGGTCAGGTTGGATGGGACCACCCGTGGGGTCATTTGATCCAACCTCCCTGCTCAAACAGGCTCTTCCTGGACACAACACTTTCTTCCTCTATAACCTAGATATTTGCTTATGCACATTTTTCTCAGGGAAGTCACGCTTTTGGAGAGGCCAGTCAGTGCAGCCCTGAGCTGGAAACTGAGCATGCGGCGCTGGCACAAGGAACCTCCCTCACTGCTCTGTTTGCACCGTGCCCTCAGAGGGACCATGAACCATTTACATTAGCAAAGGATCCAGCCCYTCACCTTTAGCTAAAGAACCTTTTATGCTCTTAAACTATTAATAATATCTATTAGGTAACCGTACTAATCCCTTTGAGGAAGGATTTCCTCTACTGTACTGATGGCTGAACTGAATAAAAGCTTCACATATGAGAGGCCTGGTTTGCACTAGAAATGCTTCTCCTTTGATAACCAGCAAATACAAGTTTTACTAGCACAAGCATCTTTTTCTGCAAGCGTTTCCCAAATAAAATAGGCTATACTGGCAAAAGCACTTTTTTTTTTTTTTGCTCATATAGCTGCATCTATATGGGGGATTTTTGCACGTAGTGAAACGCAATCTGTTTTAAATGGCACTTCAGAAGAGCATTGCTATCCCACAGAAGTTTCAAGGCTAGACCTTGAAGTATATACTTCTGCCTCATATCTGGAAAAGCGTTTTACAAAGTGGCCATTGTCATCTTGCAGGAAATACAGAGRAACTGAGACACACAGTTACAGGGGCAAGCTGGGAGTGCTGTGCTCTATCTGAAATTTGTATTGGTTACATTCTGTACCTTCAGATGAAATTATGTATCCGTAATCACACTCATTCCTCATTACACTAAATTACTCCTTAAACAACGGCGACAAAAACAGTGGATGTTTCAAAAGCACCATAATTCTGTGTAAAGGAAMTGTCCTACTGAAAATCAAATACGGAGATGCCGTTCTGAATAGGTAGATGCTGTTCTGAAGGACCTGGACTTTTTCTGAACTGTCAAAGGTAGACCTAACTCATGAAAAAATAAAACCACTWAGAGGTTAATCTGACTTCTTTGCTTCTGCTCATGCTTCTTTAATCGAAAACTGTTAACACAGATTCGCTGTCTAAAAAAAAGGGTCTTACTCTGATCAGCACTTGGAAAAAGAGGGGTTTAGCAGACAGAAAGACCTGACCAAACTGGGAACTCCTCGTCTAAAGCAGGTGCAATGAGAAGCTGGAAGATGAGTCACAGAGAAACGCAGCAGAGCCCTCAACAGGTTTTGAAGAGCACCTCTTGAGTGGCAGCGCTCAGCACAAGTGTCAGGCAGGATGGGGACATGGGGGAGACAGCAGCACAGGGTGGCAGGGATATACTCACAGCCTCAGCCTCCTGCTCCCACTGCGCCGCTTCAGCACGGCTGGAGTCCCGCTCCCCTCACCTCGCTGYGCTTCATGGAGAAGGAGCTGGCTGATTGATCCTCTTCAGCAGCCCCTCCAGCCCCTGGGAGGGTTTGCAGCCGAGCGCCAGGGTGGCTGTGGGGAATGGAGCAGGTGAATCTCGTGCCGTGGTACCTGCCTCAGGCGGGTCTCCGCACACCGCAGCGTCCCTTTGCCAGAGGGGCTGAGTTCAGGGATCTGCTCCRATCTCCAGAGTGAAGGGACCAAACACCATTGGGTGGATATCCTGTGTGACATTCAAGAGCTATCCACTGCTTGTTGACGGCCCAGAGTGTTCTTGTTTTCCTCGCACAGTCTGTCCTCTGCAGTCCAAAGCCGTAGCCTTATAACCAGGCAGTGACTTCCTCTGAAGTTGCTTGTATTGACCTAAATAGGTTGGGGCGGGTGAGGACACACAGAGAACATGAAAAAGCTGTGCTGGTTGCCCAACAAAGAAGTGTCTGCTTTGTGGTGAGCACTTTTAACATATAAGCACTTTTAACATACTGTTAAAGAACATGATTTTCATGTTTGTTTAAGTTCACACCAAAAGGCTTGCAAAGTAGCAAAGTGGGTAAAAATAAAATCTGCATTTAAGTGGTAAACAAAATAGTTAAAACTCGACTTCTTGTAATTTGAACGCTACTTACTGATGCAACGCATTCTAAGTCCTTGAGTGCTTTTCTTCTATACATCAACCCATGAGTAATATATCTGACAGATCTAGAAAATGAACTTCAGGATGGGGCAATGTTAAAATCAGCTGTCCCGACAAAAGCAGAGAYTATCGGGGAGTGGTGACAAGATGGAGATGTTTCCCTCCAATTTTAAATGGAGCTCAGAAGCCAAAAATGGCTGGTAGCTTTGCAATGCCATAAGAGAAATGAGTGYAGAAGCTCGAGTTGTGTCATGATGGGCAATCAGCAGCACTCCACGAGTACTCCTGAACACAAGCTGTCTTCTCTTTTCCACAAGCAATGTAGAGGAACTGTCTACCCCTACTTCCTATGGGCAGGCTGCATCCTGAAGTCCTGAGCTTAGGCCTGAATTTMTCTCTCTTTACCCCATTCTCACTWGCTGTAAGTTAGGATGACAGCATTCAACCCTCTGTAARTGCTTTGAAATGAAAAGTGGCATAYAGGAATTCARCTTTTGCATAGAGCTTGACACAAACAGCATGGCCTTGGTGCTGTATGTCAAAAGTAATTTTCAATCTGTTCAGAGTTAAATTGCACAGTTTTGTTTCCATGAATCTTATTATATTAAATCAAAACTGTTGTGCAAGTTCAGCTGTTTGCAAGAGAACATCAGAGTGGGATTTGAAAGATGACTGTG